GACAAACAGTTCCCTCCCTTTGTTTGGCAACCCCATGTCATCAACATCCACGTTGATTTGAACCCACCAGAATTTCTCATTTTCACTCTCCTCCCAACTCCCTTTCATCGTATAATTCCATCAGTCCTCGATAGCCCTCCGTTAATTAGGTTCGGCCGGCCACCACTGAACATTAGCACTACTGTAGGTCGCTCATACAAATAGTCCATTCCCCACTCCCCAGTCTTCTCCCCGACCCTCTCAGTCCGTTCCCCACCCCGCCCCCAAAGCCCAGCTGGAGTGCCCAGGAAATCTATGGTGCCAGAGTTTTATTTGCTTTTGAATAGAGGCGCCCACGTGGTGCGGGCCATTACATACGAAATCTATTTCCACGACCCAAAACATGGGGCCGTCTAACTAGAAGAAGATCACACCAGAATATTATGCAACCGTGCAAATTCGAAGGAGTTTTATAACCACCACATCAGAGATACAATCACACGCGATATTCTTATTACAATGGACTTTGAAAGATTCCAGTAAAAAAAAAATCCCCGCTATAAAAGCTGAACCATCCGTAGTTTCAGCACATTTATAAATATATCTAGAAATTAACTCGTGGAAAATAATTTATATATACTTTATATTTAATAATTTAGTATCGAGAATGTCGTTTGGCTAAATATATGTGTCTATTGAATGCGCAGAATGTTTATCAATCTTCAATATATATTTTTTTGGAATAATTAAACAACAAATTTCATCAAAGTTTATTTCATATTGCAGTGTGATTAAAGGTTGACTGATATTTAAAGCTTGAAACTTCTGAGAAAATGTAAAAGTTTTAGACAACAAGATGAAAAGTGACCCTTGTATTGTTATAATTACAGTAAATCTATTCTTTATTTTATTTTTGTAAGTCATGTGCAAGGATGAGTTTTCAGCAGCTTGCAATCTGCATTAAAATTACACTTTTGTAAAAAAAAAAATCCACAGCGAAGAATAAGATAATGTAAGCAATTTTAAAATTCTAATTTCATTCGGCTGGTTGATTTTTAGCAAGGTGAACCAGAATTTTCTTAAGTGTTTAATTCTTGCCTCACACCCCGCCCCACCCTCCACTTTTCTGGACAAAGACGACTTGTCTTAAAGTCGAAGACGATTACCATTAATTGAAGAGGGCTTAAGCGGTAGATTTAGTGTGTATTAAAACTCAATTATCTTGGTGTTTGCCGTTTAGCTACAAGGAAATCCTTAAACAAGGGCTTCGTTGTGTGGAAAGTTATGGTTGTTAACTGTGGAATAAAAAATCTAGTCCCTCTTTTGTAACTGGAGGTCAATAGGGTACATGATGTTGAGTTCACTTGTAACTGTGACCTCGGCATATAAAGTGATAGTGTGGTCAGTTCTATGCCCAGCCGTTGAAGAGAAAAAAGTATTTTCGCCGTTATCAATTGATAACAAAAAGGAAATGTTAGTGTTTTATTTCAGCGTCAAAAATGTTAAAGCTTTGAACAAAACGTTATCATTAATAAACGTTTAACCCTCAAAAGAATGAGCCTGTTTCACACAGTGATGAGGGTCTTAAAACAGCCAATGAATCTTTGTATGATTCGGCCTTAATTATCTTAAAAAAATTGTCGGAAGACCATAAGTAAACAAAAATGTAACCATAAGTAAACAAAAATGAAGCCTCAAAATCCGAATATAATTCTGTAGTTCTAAACGTTCATATTTGAAAGAATACATTTAAAAAAATTAGTTTTCTAAGAATATTGAAATAAAACAGAAGGTTTTAAAAATTTGGAAGCAGCTACCGGTTAATGTACATGGACTATGGACTAAAGTGTTTCAATTTATATATATATATATATATATATATATATATATATATATATATATATATATATATATATATATATATATATATATATATATATATATATATATTTATACATATATATATATATATATATATATATATATATATATATATATATATATATATATATATATATATATATTATATATATATATATATATATATATATATATATATATATATATATATATATACCTTTTATTCCAATCCCCTGGTGGCACGTTATCTTTTGATTCTAAAGAACTGTGGTGTTTCGTCCATTCTTTGATACCAAATGTGTTTAGTTCGTTAAATGTCAAGGTTTTTGTCGTATCCATTTAGTGTTGTGAAAGTTGTCGAGTACCTTTGTTGGACGATATAAAGGTTGTTTGTTTCTTCTATGACACCGTGTTGCTGTCGTTGACGAAATGTCTTACTGTGGACGACAAACTCAGAAGAAACAACAAAAGATTCCAATGTTGGGCGGCCTCAAGACTATAACAGTAGCAGGACGCAGGCAAGTGGAGCAGGAAGGATGTTGGTAAACGCAATTTCCGGTTGAGCCGGCGGTGCTAAAATTAAAAAATGGAATTTTTAAGCCTGTTATTTTTTGGTAGCTTTAGAATTCATGTTGCTGGGAGGAGTGAAATTGGATTGGAGGAAAAGAGAATTTTAGAGGTTTTGAAAGAGAGAATAGAATTCTAGTAGTTTTAGAGGAGAGAAAATAATTTTAGAGGTTTTGGGCGAGAGAATAGAATTCTAGTGGTTTTAGAGGAGAGAAAATAATTTTAGAGGTTTTGGGCGAGAGAATAGAATTCTAGTGGTTTTAGAGAAGAGAAATCAATTTTAGAGGTTTTGAAAGAGAGAATAGAACACTAGTGGTTTTAGAGGAGAAAAAAAGGATTTTAGAGGTTTTGAAAGAGAGAATAGTGGTTTTAGAGAAGAGAAAATAATTTTAGAGGTTTTGGGGGAAAGAATAAATCCTAAAGGTTTTGGAGGAGAGAAAATAATTTTAGAGGTTTTGGCGGGAGAGAAAAGACATTTAGAATGAAGAGGAGAGAAGAGAAAGTAACTCTTGATGATGGAGGGAGTGAGCTCACGAAGCTGGTGGAAGAGAGTTATAGAGGCAAGTAGATTGAGAGAACTCAACATTCGGAGAAGGCGATAGGAGTCAAAATAATTATGCTTTAGAAGAGAGAGAATTTGTTTTTGGAATTCGGGTAGGGGAGGTAATTCTAAAGGCTAAGACAGGGGAGAAAATTGTTAAACACGTTCGTGCCACACAAGGGAGAGAATATGTCAAAAGTTTTGTTGTTTCAGGGGACAAGAAAAAAAAATCAATATGTTTAGGTCCATTGAAACTTGAAGACCCCTTGAGCTAGGAAAAGATGAGAGTGTGTGTATGGAGTGGGGTGGGGTGGGGGGGGGGGCATTTTTGTATTGAGTATCAGCCAAGACGAGGGAAAGCTGAAAATCTTGAATGTCAAAACTGTTCCCATCAGCCACACGTTGTGTTTTGTGTACGGCTCCAGCTGGATTTGATCACGGGACCTGGGGCTGAGACGTTAGATGTAATAACTGTTCACCTTGTCTGGTTTGTAGCGGAGTAGGCCTCTGACTATTGCATGGTCGCTGAATATTGCCTCTTTTTTGCCTCGGATAATTGCCCCAATATTGGACCTTTGTTTTTTTTTTTTTTTTTTTTTTTTTTTTTTTTAATATTGGACCTTTGATTATTTCCACAGTGTTCAAGGACGATAAAGAGAAAATCCTAAATTAACAGTTAATGATTGTTTATTACATGGCCTAATAGTAGCCGGGTATAGTGCGTACCATATAATCATTTGGAATTCAAAAATCGGGGAAAAGATGTAAGCAAACTCTACTTCATCTACTCACACATGCTGTAAACACAAAATTACATTCACAGCTATTTAGATTTTATTTCTCTAGCCCAGCTCCACAGAAACGAAATTGCATGTCTTACTCCTGAGCTTAGAGTTATTTCCCCTAGAATCAGATGTATATGGAGTTGTCGGGCACATCTCCTCTACAAAAACATCAGACGTTTTGTAAAGTTGATAGCCGAGTTATCGTTCGTGATTCCCTTCTTCTTGCAAACACAGATTTCGTCTAAATGGCTTCTAATTATTTGTGTTGATGGAATAATTTCATATAAATAGCTTCGTATCAATTTTATTAGTGCAAAGATTTCATCTAAATGTTTACTAATACTAATTACTTTTGCTAATAAAATGATTTCATGTAATCGGTTTCTAATTAATTTTGTTAGTAGAAAGGTTTACCTAAATGGTTTTTAATTACTTCTGCAATTTAATCTCAACGGCTCATAACTACTTGTTACTGAAATAATTTCACTGGAATAGTTTCCAACAACTTTCTGTTGATGTTAAGTCTCTAGCTATACACTTTTTTAGTTATTTATTATCTAACTAGCTTCTAATTATATTTAATAAGTATTTATGGCATAAATGTTTTATTAAAAAGTTCAATACTTTCTCCATCTTTTTGCAAGCGAAGGTTTTTATCAAATTAAAAAAGAAAATTATTTAGACTTTCAAAGGGACTAACTATAAAATAAATATTGTACTTTTTCTTCCTCGTGTTTATTTCTAGTGTTGGAAGAGATTCTCCCCAACACAATTAAGTATACGTGTCAACTGGTTATGCATCATTTAGGCCGTTGACTCTGATTTCTGCCTGCTTTTCTATATGGATTTGCTCCTATTAGCCTTTGTACACCCAAGAAAAAACTACAAGGCAGCAGTTGTTAGATTTTTGAGTTGTCTCTCCTAAAAGAGTGGCTGTTCCCAGCTAACGAATCTCATCTGCACGGAGGTTCGAACTCAAGAATTTTCGGTTTAGCAACTGTAAGCGTTACCGACTCGACCACGCCGAACACTACTTTTAAAAACACGTATAAGTCTTCATTGGTCAATCGTTGGCTAATGAAAATAGTATGACATTTTTTTTCAGCTATAGGACTTTTCTAGGCTTTGTACATTGAGTAGTTTTTTATTTTGTTCATTAAAAAAATTTCATCTTGTTTAGTTTTTTTTACACAATATTTTCTGATAACGGAACAAAACACGAATTTAAAAAAAAAGAAGAATCGTTTTAGAAAAGTTATATTGTACAACATATATAGCAAAGCAATATTTCATTTTTTTTTCTTTGATTAGTTCAATATTAAAATATAGAAAAAATAAAATCTCTTCACAACCCTGTTTCATCATCCACCAACCCAACGCTAGACACCAGCAGACATTCTTTGTCTCCACACGTCATCACTTCCTGATGCCGTTGCCATGGCGACTTGCTCTGACTGGCCAGGATGGTTCTGATGGAGCCGGCAGAAGGACCGGTCACGGCTACGGCTTGTAGCGGTGTTTTCTCGCTAAGTTTTGCTGGCGCGGCTCTCTGCTCCACGCTATCGCAGTCGTCGGGGTAGTAGTCTTCATCGTCTTCATCATCGTCGTCGTCGTCGATGATCTCGATGCACTGTGTGTCGTAGGTGGGGTTGGGCCGGCCGTGGGAGCAGACGATGCCGTTGAGGGTGGTGTTCATGTTGGTGTCGGGCACCTCCCCCGGGTCGCTGTTGCACATGTTGCCGTGGACCTCTGGGGGTGGGACGGGTTAGGGTCAACACAGGAGAGGGGTCAGTCTTTAACCATTACCTAACTCAAACTGTCTAAATGTAGGTGCGATATTTACAACGCCACCGCGACTGTATTCGATAAATCTTTTCATCGTTGAAACTAAACTTAACTAAACAAGCACTAACTCTAGCCATTACCCGACCCCTAGTCCTGATGCTGGTTTTGACACTATCCATAACCCTTGCTTTTACCCAAGCACCGAGCATGAACAGAACAATGAGAAACTACATTCATTCAATTTTGTTCTGTTCGTGTTTAAAAATAAGATAAAAACCTAACCTAGATATTAAACCAAATGTGAAGTTAAGAAAAAACAATCAAATTAAAAATATCTTAAAGATATATCTATAAGAAAAACTGTCTAAAACACCCGTGTCCATAGAGAAAGAGACATTAGCTCTCCACCATTGAACTAACTAAACCTCACCCCCGCCCCACAAAAACACACAAAATTAACCCACACTCCTCCACTAAACTAACCAATGCTAAGCTACATCCACCATTCACTCACACGTCACTTTGTATTCAATTACTGAACGATGCACTGAACGACCCCTTTCTAGAATATTACAACGATATTTACTGGACTGCCAGTCACTCTATATTAAACCTAACGAGGTGTTACAAATGCCTTTCTTCACCCCCCCCCCCCCCCCCACTCCCCCCATCATCTGCACCCTATGACCCCAACAGGAAACATAAAATGAGTTTTACCTTTAAGAAAGTGGAAGGAAGGTTTCCTCTGTTTACAGCAGCATCGTTCTAAAATGGCCTTATATCCCGACCTGTACCTGGCCAACGCGAGGCTGTACAACAGTGGATTCAGCAGACCCGGAAGTGACGTCGCGATGTTGGAGTACATGAGCGTGGCCTCACTCACCTCCACGCCAGACTTCTGCAACGTCATCATCAGCTGGGGAGGGAGTGGGGGGAGGGGATAGTTTGATATTTTTGAAATTGAAATTCCCGTCAAAAGACCCATACAAAGATGGAGTGGAGGTTTCAAGATAAGGATACAATACACTAAATTACCTCCCCTGGGGAGGTGCTGATGAAATATTTTTCTCAGGTTTATTATTGAATGTCACTCTAAATACCGCGCGTTAAGAAAAACTGTCCAAAAAATGTTAAGGTTTTCTGGTGAAACTTTTTGAAGAGAATTGCGTTTGAGTGGATATTTGGTTCATCAGCTACATCTAATATTATCAGTCATATTTTTAAAATAAATCAAATCACTAAAATGAGTCATGTGATACAGTGATTCAGTGAAAGTTGTAAATCGTCAGGCGTGTTATGCGCCAGCTATTTAATAATTAAAGCTCCCCTTTTATGCCTTACAATTCATATGGCAGATATAATTCATATGTTTCTTAATCTCGGCATTTGAAAAGCATGATGCCCAGTTGCGTTTAGTTTCCCTAACTTTAGTCAGGTACCCATCAGAGCTGGGTTGACTCAAGGACGTCTTGCAGTCCTGAGTGTTCACCGAGAATCGAACTTGTGGCTATCGGGCTAGCAGTCGAGCGCGCTACCACTCGACCCACAGTCCCACAGTTATTGTCATACAACACTTATTAGTGTAAAACACAGCTGTCGTGTTATATAAATGTCATATTGTACCACAGCGGTCATGATATACAAACTCTATCATATTGTGACACAATGTTATGTTAAAAATATTCATATTCATATGACGTTATAAAAACTGTCATATTGTGCACTGATATGTTATACAAACTGTCATATCGTACCCAGTGGCGTAGCGAGGTCGGGTGTCACCCCCCCCCCCCAGAAATGTAGCGCGCCCGGGGACAAACTCTCAATTTTCGATTTGCACCCCCCCCTCAAACTTTCGATTTGCACCCCCTTTGATTTGTACCCCCCCCCCCTCCTTCTCTTTAGATTTTGCTATTTTTTGCCTTGGTGTCACCCCCCTAAATGGTGTCGCCCGGTCCGGTCCGCACCCCCCCCCTCGCTACGCCACTGATTGTACCACATATGTCATGTTATACAAACTCTGCCATATTGAATTACAGCGGTCATTTTATACAAACTCCATAATATTGTTATGTCAAAATATTCATATTGTGACTCAACTGTCATGTTTAATAAACTGTCATATTCTTCCACAGCTGTCACAACATACACCAGCACCCAACTTTACACCTACAACGATAGGAATCCAGGTGAGCAGGCCGGCCACACCTATACAGGTGAGGCTGTAGTGTCGCCTCATGTCCTCCAGCACCGCCAGTTCCGTCACATCCGGCACGTTCTCCTCCTCGTGGTACAACCTTGACCTTCGCTTCCTCTCCTGCTTCATGCGCTTGCTCACCTGATGACGTAATCACCACTAATTAAAGCTAGATTTATGTGAGGTTAAATATTCTTATTCATTGGTTCTCATTTAATAAGTGTTACTGTTTTCCATAAAACTTCTCAAAACCTAGCAAGGCAGAAATTCTTGTTACCATATGAGACCGTGGTAAAGGGAGACAAATTTTAAAAGTTTATTCCATTTTTATTGGGGATGTACTAATTATTACTAAAGAATTTAAGTTAATTCATATATTAAAAGTTTGAATGTCCAATTTGAAATTAAAATCTAAACTCAGCCTGTATGTAACATCTCTTTATAATTTCCGAAAAATTTAAATATTTGTTACTTAAAAAAAAGAAGTAATTGATTTTTTTAAACAAAAAAATATCTGATAGTATAGCCGATTGAAATAACAACTGTGTAATTTAAAACCTCCCACTTTGATTTTTTTTTTAAATGTTCGAATCAATTTGAAAAACGTTATTAAAGTTCAAGGTAAAGAGTGTCAAAGTCATTGTGTGACAATTTACAGTGACAGTCCCAGTCGTTAGATAAATAATAATCAAATAACATGAATTTAGTCTCATTGTTACCTCAGACGGTCATAGAATTACATGCAGAAAGTCTTAGAATTACCCGCAGACAGTGATAGAATTACCTGCAGACCTAGAATTACCTGCAGACAGTCATAGAATTACCCGCAGACAGTGATAGAATTACCTGCAGACCTAGAATTACCTGCAGACAGTCATAGAATTACCTGCAGACAGTCATAGAATTACCTGCAGACAGTCATAAAATTACCTGCAGACAGTCATAGAATTACCTGCAGACAGTCATAAAATTACCTGCAGACAGTCATAAAATTACCTGCAGACAGTCATAGAATTACCTGCAGACAGTCATAAAATTACCTGCAGACAGTCATAAAATTACCTGCAGACAGTCATAGAATTACCTGCAGACAGTCATAGAATTACCTGCAGACAGTCATAGAATTACCTGCAGACAGTCATAGAATTACCTGCAGACAGTCATAGAATTACCTGCAGACAGTCATAGAATTACCTGCAGACAGTCATAGAATTACCTGCAGACAGTCATAGAATTACCTGCAGACAGTCATAGAATTACCTGCAGACAGTCATAGAATTACCTGCAGACAGTCATAGAATTACCTGCAGACAGTCATAGAATTACCTGCAGACAGTCATAGAATTACCTGCAGACACACGCTTATTCCACTGCTGCAACCGGTGATGAGACAAAAATAAACAAACGACAAAAAGACGACAAAAAATGTCTTTTCCTTTGTGGCGGCGGGGATGGGCACGAGCCAGGATCGACAAGACGTCTCGCTGATGTTTGGGCGGGGGCCAAACCCGACCACGGGCAGGGAGGAGATGGCGAGGGTGATGGTGTAGAGGAAAAACAGGGTCAGAGAGACGTAGTCCCGGGCCTGACAATGGAGCCCACACAAACAATTTTTCTGGCCAGATTTATTGTCCGGCTCGTCCTGGCCGTGGACTAATTGGACGTAGCCACCGCTGGCCGCTGGGGTGGGGCCTGGTTCGTCTGACCCAGGGCAGCAGACGCGTCTGGACACGGGGTCATCCTCGCAACTCGTTTGGTATTGATTGAGCAAAAACTGGTCGGAGTTTGGGAAAATGTTGGAGCCGTCTTTGAGTACTGGTGTGTTTTTGGCTTCCTCTCCCCCCGGGGGGTGCTTGTTGTGTGTCCCCGGGGGGTGCTTGTTGTGTGTCTGGGTTTTCACACCTGAGTTGTCTCTTGTGGATTTGTGCGCGCGCAGACTAGAGCAGACGAGGGTTTTATCCTCATTTGTACCATGCTGTGCCAGATTTGAAAATACCTTTGAGAGTTTGGGTGACGGATGGTTGTGGTCGTTGACGAATCGTTCCCGCTCCACGCTGCTGCCCACGGTGTCTCTATCAAATTGTATCGTCTGCTCACTTGGGACGTCTGCTACTAATGACGTGATCGCGTTTGGTTTGGTAGCTTTGTACTTCTGTGTCGCCTTTGGGGAGTTTTCTGGGGTTAACTGCGTCTCAGATGGATGTCGGCGATGTTGTGCTACGTGAGGGGATATGGGTGGCGTGGACGGATGTTGCGCGTGTAAACAGGATGGTGTTGGTGAGGGGGTGGGTATGATGACGCGGTGGGTCAAGTCTGGTTTGTATCTCTTGAGGCGGGAGACGGCGAAGTGGCAGTTGATGCAGATGTAGGAGAGTAGAGCGAGGGAGGAGATGTTGCACCAGGTGGACGTCACCTGGTAGGTCGTGCAGGTGGGCGTGCCGCCGTACCAGCCCCCGGAGAAGTAGGACGCCAGCCCCAGGGGGGTGGGGACCAGAGCTGGGGATAGACAAAATATCATGACATGTAGTGGGAAATAGTGGTGTGAGGGATTTAATGAGATGATTGCGAGAGTTTGTGGTAGACGAGAATTTATGAGATGTGACGAGAGTTTATGAGATGTAGCGAGATTTAATGAGATGTGACGAGATTTGATGAGATGTGGCAAGAGTTTGTGGTAGTCGAGATTTGATGAGATGTGGCGAGAGTTTATGAGGTGTGGCGAGAGTTTGTGGTAGACGAGATTTGATGAGATGTGGCGAGATTTTATGAAATTTTATGAGATGTGCCGAGAGTTTCTACTAGACGAGATTTTATGAGATGTGACGAGAGCTTTTGGTAGACAAAATTTTATAAGATGTGGTGAGATTTGATGAGATGTGGCGAGATTTAATGAGATGTGGCAAGAGTTTCTGGTAGTCGAGATTTGATGAGATGTGGCGAGGCTTGAAAAGACAGGATAACAATGGTCATGGGTAATAGCGACATTTTGATTTAATTAATTCAAAATCTAAAACATTTTAATTTAATGTGTTCAGAATGTAGCGAGATTTAATGAGATGTGGCAAGAGTTTATGAGGCGTGGCGAGAGTTTGTGGTAGACGAGATTTGATGAGATGTGGCGAGATTATATGAGATGTGGCGAGATTTTATGAAATTTTATGAGATATGGCGAGATTTTTTGAAATTTTATGAGATGTGGCGAGTGTTTCTGCTAGACGAGATTTTATGAGATGTGACGAGACCTTGTGGTAGACGAAATTTTATGAGATGTGGCGAGATTTAATGAGATGTGGCAAGAGTTTGTGGTAGTCGAGATTTGATGAGATGAGGCGAGGCTTGAAAAGACAGGATAAAATGAGAATGTAAACTTACCAGACAATATACAAGACTGAACCTACCAGACAATACACAGGACTGTACCTATCAGACAATACACAAGACTGAACCTATCGGATAATATACAAGACTAAACCTAACATAAAGTATGCGAGACAGAACCTATCAGACAATACATAAGACTGAACCTACCAGAAAGTATGCGAGACTGAACCTACCAGACAATGTAACAAGACTGAACCTACCATACAATATACAAAACTGAACCTACCAGAAAGGATACACGTGAGACTGAAGGCTGCAATCAACCGGTCCCCGACCCCCCGGGACTTGAGCCAGAGCAGGACGACCAGTATGGGCATGAGGTTCTCCACGACCAGCGCCAGCTCTAGCAGGATAATGAACACCCCCGACACGTGGAGCTGCTGGCCCAGGTGCCCCGGTGCCAGGCTGGACGTCTGACCTGATTCCCCAGATAGCAACATGTCAGTCATGGGCACGTGCAGGAAGCTCATCGCTGGGTCACGTGACGAGAGGCTCGAGATACCGGCTGATGAGTTCTGTCCATCTTGTCTACATCTGTGTCCATCTTGACGTCACATTGCCCGGCTCTCCCGAGTCTGAAATTACATTTATTTCCAGTTTTATTTATAACCTTTTTTTAATCGGCGGAGGAGGGGGGGGGGGAGAGAGATTAAAAAACAGACGTGTTGTCGTGAATGGGAGAATTATTTATCTTGTAAAATAAATAAATAAATAATTTATTCCCAGCGTTCAAGTTTCAGAAAATATGTCCATCAAAACCTGAATCCTTTTATGTGGAATCACGTGTATCGATCTATATCAATCCACAGAGATACCATTTCGTTATGAAAAAAAACCCATCATATTAAAAAATTCATTTCACCGTCCGTTAGTTGATTGATTTCTGACCAGTAATTTTAAAATTATTTTTAAGTTCGTTCGTTTTTACTCAACGTCCAATTATGGATGGGAAACTGGGGCCTACATCGGTTAAACCGCGCTCAATACCGTTATGTTATTAAAGTAGAGCTTGTTCCATCTTAATTAAATAAATTAGAATCAGTCATTTGGGAACTGGAGTCTGTTAAGAGGTAGTTTGTCTACTAGATAGTTAATGTGAGTGATTGTGTTTCACCTAATATAAAGTAGCTGTGAGTGATTGTGTTTCACCTAATATAAAGTAGCTGTGAGTGATTGCTTGATCTAATATAAAGTAGATGTGAGTGATTGTGTTTCACCTAATATAAAGTAGCTGTGAGTGATTGTGTTTCACCTAATATAAAGTAGCTGTGAGTGATAGTTTGATCTAATATAAAGTAGCTGTGAGTGATTGTGTTTCACCTAATATAAAGTAGCTGTGAGTGATTGTGTTTCACCTAATATAAAGTAGCTGTGAGTTGTAAAAACAAAATTTACTATGTTCACTCCAGTAAACGGAGATTGTAAAAAAAATGGTTGGGATAATTTTTAAAAGTTGTAGCTGGGAAACTTTGACAGTTTTCAACAGTAGAAGAAAATGGGTTAAAGTGGATGAAAATCTAAAATCTATAGCATTACAGGGACACAACTAGAAGCGAAGTGTTTGAATGAAATCAATTGAACCGATGTATTATCGGTCAACCTCTCACTTCGACCGAACAGTACTGGCCAAAAATACCACTAAAAGGTGGGATTTTTAAGTTGGGGGTTACATCAGACGAAATGAGACCTTTTGTGTCAAGCATCTTGTCCACCCCCGCCCTCTACAATTCCCCCCCCCGCCCTCTACAGTTACCCCCCCCCCTCCCCATCACAGGAGCCATCAAAGTTTCTTCCCCTTTCCTCCATGTCCGAACAGTTTTGTCTTGAGCTGGCTAGTTCAGTTTTTCCCCCTTCCCCATGACTTGTTCAATCCATCTAAATTTGTAATGAGCTCTTGGTTTTTATGAAGCCTTTCTTCCTTGTAGCGTCAGACAACCTCTTCATCATATCACTTAATCCTTCCATCGCCCCTTGATCGTGGCACTCAGTCCCAGAATAGTGTAGACCCCGGGACCTCAGAGTTGGGTGGGGTCTCAGAGATAGAGGCATTCAAGTTAGGGGGCGCTGTCTCGATGGGACATTTAGGACAGCTGACGCATTCTTATGAGGACATGAAGACAGCCGATAAGATAGATCAAATTTTCGATTTCTTTGGAGCAGAAAGATGTGAGAATCTAAAACCAGCTATATGAAAATCATAGTCAGAAACATAATTAGACCTGGAGTCAAATAATGAAAGCTCGTGTCAGATACGTAATGATATCTAGGAGTCAGATACTTAATGATATCTGGAGGCAGATACTTAATGAAAGGTGGAGTCAGATACAGAAAAGCAAATTGGGTCAGAAACAAAAATGTATCTATAGTCGAAACGTGAAAAATTGCTCATTAGTTTTCATTTATTTGGTGAATGCTAATTAGTTTTAATTTCACTAATTAAGTCGGTACTAGTATAAACACTAAAAGAATAAATTAATCTATTTAAATTTAATTCGGTTGCAAGTTATTATGTTCCTGTAAAAAGTTTTGAGAGTATGGGAATCATTGCAATGCAAATGTGTTTGAGAGTATGGGAATCATTCCAACACAAATGTGTTTGTGTGTGTGTGGGGGGGGGGGGAATCAATTTTAGTAAAATAGGCTTCAAAGTCTTGGAATCATTGTAGTACAAGAAAGCTTATGAGTATCATTGTAGTACAAAAAGGCTAGTGGGTATCAATGTAGTACAAAAAGGACAAGGTCTATCAGGAAAAGGTGACCTAGTACCTTCTCCAGAAAAAAAAAAGTTCCATAAGAAGAAAACTGTCGATATCGTGTGGTAGAAACAAATTACCGGCCACTAGACGACCGGCAATTTCCGGTTGGTGATAATTGGGGGAAAGATGGCGGTACTCAACACGAATGCAAACGAACGAATTTGTGAGTAAAATAAAAGTCAATTAACTTAATGATCACAATTCTAGTGGTGTTCACGTGTCGTTTTACATTTGGTACACATATGATGAAAATGTCGTTTTACATTCTGAACACATTAAATTAAAATGTTTTAGATTTTGAATTAATTTAATCAAAATGTCGCTATTACCCATGACCATTGTTACCCAGGACACACTGCAACCCGGGACACACTGCAACCCGGGACACACTGCAACCCGGGACCCACTTCAACCCCGGACCCACCGCAACCCGGACCCACTGCAACCAGGACCCACTGTAACCCGGGACCCACTACAACCCCGGACCCACTGCAACCCGGGACCCACTACAACCCCGGACCCACTGCAACCCGGACCCACTACAACCCAGGACACACTGTAACCCAGGACCCACTGCAACCCGGGACACACTGCAACCCGGGACCCACTTCAACCCCGGACCCACTACAACCCCGGACCCACTGCAACCAGGGACCCACTGCAACCCGGGACCCACTACAACCCCGGACCCACTGCAACCCAGGACCCACTACAACCCAGGACCCACTGTAACCCAGGACCCACTGCAACCCGGGACCCACTACAACCCCGGACCCACTGCAACCAGGGACCCACTGCAACCCGGGACCCACTACAACCCAGGACCCACTGTAACCCGAGACCCACTTCAACCCCGGACCCACTACAACCCCGGACCCACTGTAACCCGAGACCCACTTCAACCCCGGACCCACTGCAACCCAGGACCCACTGCAACCCGTGACCCACTACAACCCGGGACCCACTGCAACCAGGGACCCACTGCAACCTGGGACCCACTGCAAACCGGGACCCACTGCAACCCGGGACCCACTGCAACCCGGGACCCACTTCTACCCTCGACCCGCTTTATACCCGCTGTATATCACCGTTGGCATGGACATTTTCTTCTGTTTGTGTAAACACGCTCAAATTTGTCGTTTGGTTTAGGAGCCATAAAAAATGGCGCTCAAATTAAAACCACTACACAGAAACACACGTAATGCATTTTATCCAGGCTCAACTAATTTATTTTAAGAACAAAAAAATTTATCCCTTGACATCTGTTATCGGGAATTTCCGTTTGTCATTATAGCGATGACGTGCATGAGATACGGTGCGCAGGATCGTCTAGTAATTTTACAGGCATATTGTTTGTGTCTTCAGCGTGCGAGATGGTCGCTGGTGATAGCTTAACAAAAATCTTGAACTGGTCTCTGTTGTTTTTGTTTTCGTTAATCGTTGGTCACAATCTCAGTGTTAGAACTAGGATTAGCTTGGGGTAGAGAACTGGATAAAATATCGTTTAATTTTAATTGTAGGTGTCTTCATACTATAATATTATTGTAGCTTAGATAGGACATAGTTGCTGTTATATGAATATTTCTAAGTTGTTTGATTCTAAGTTCTCTAACTAGATACGAGTTTGAACAGTTAAGAATTAATGTTCTTGTCTTAGAGTTGCATGGTCGCACAGGTTAAAGGCCTCTGTGCCTTCTATTGTTACCGTCATTGAATAAATTGAATTGAATAAATGAATCAATTAATTACATTGATTTAATGTATGAATAGGTAAACGCAGAACCAGAGGCGTAGCGAGGGTGGGTGGGGGGGGGGGCGGGGGTGGGGGGGGTGCGGTCCGCACCTGGTGACACCATTTAGGGGGGTGACACCAAGGAAAATATATAGAGAAAAACTTAAGGGGGGGGGTGCAAATCAAAAGTTTGAGGGGAGGGGGGTGCAAATCGAAAATTTGAAAGTTTGTCCCCGGGAAGGGTCGCTACCCCTAGGGGGGGGGGGGTGACACCATTAAGTGCCGCACGGGGTAACACCCGACCTCGCTACGCCACTGCGCAGAACTATTGTTTTCTATATTATTATTGTCCTCTAAATTGAACTTGTGTTAACATTATGTGTTTGGATCGTTAAGGCGGATATAGTCCATTTTGTTCTAAATTGTCATCTGAATATATCACCTCACTGCAGTCATCAACGTCATCAGTCATCCACCTCATGATGACTTTATAACACCCAGGGTCTTATGTCAACTGTTTAGCGTAGGTTTCTATACACTGAGCTATTCTTTATACACAAACATCTTGAAAACAAATCCTCTGATTCTAGAGCCTGAATATGACATTATGTAACTGACATCTGTACTGTAACAAGTTGTATCGATCAACGCCTGACTATGACATTATGTAACTGACATCTGTACTGTAACAAGTTGTATCGATCAACGCCTGACTATGACATTATGTAACTGACATCTGTACTGTAACAAGTTGTATCGATCAACGCCTGACTATGACATTATGTAACTGACATGTGTACTGTAACAAGTTGTATCGATCAACGCCTGACTATGACATTATGTAACTGACATCTGTACTGTAACAAGTTGTATCGATCAACGCCTGACCTGCGACTTCAAAGAGTTGGAGGTTTTCTTAAAATTATGGGATGGCGCTCATCCGTTTCTAGTGTCAGCCAAGGTCACAAATCGTGTGACGTAATGTACCTGGTGGGTCAGGGTGTCGTCTGTCTATCGACCGGATACAGATTGCATCTGCCTTTATGCTATTTTGATTGGTCAATAAATACCAAGGGACAGACCAGTA